AGAGGATTGACAGAATTTCTGATTTTCACGAGCTGGTCACCACAAACATCAAAAATAAAATAACATTTTACAGATAACGAATGTAGAATATATGAGGGTTTTCCTTTTTTAATTCAATTACAAAATTAAATAAATACATACATACACAGATGCATTCATGAAGTTATTCCTGCTGGTGACTGGTGACCTGTCCAGGGCCTACTTCACCTCTCCCCCTATGGCAGCTGGGATAGGCTCCAGCACCCTCGCGATCCTGAATTTGATAAGGTGAAGAAAATGGAGTGAGGGACAGAATAATATTTAACGATATTCCTATCTTTTTAGATACACTATTACTTTACTGAAAACTGGCTTATTAAACAAAGCAATCATCACATCAATCACACTCTCTGCATCTGTGCGTCCTATGTGTTTCTAACCTTAGTTTCAAAGCAGAAATAAGCAGAGGGAAGTGCACAGAGGTGACCTTTACTGATTTGGCTCGTTGCTGTGGAAAAAAAGACGACGCTCTGAGCTACGAGGAGCATGCTGAAACTGCAAAAGCTCAAATGCCTGCTGTGCCGGCTCTATCTGCAGTTGCTAATTGGAAAGGCCTGAGAACAGAAGCACACACCGAAACAACCTTTTCAGCATTTCTGCAAACGTTTGCAATCGTATGTGCTTGCAGAGTTTAAAGGGTCTCATTTTCCACTGGTCCACTCACCAGCCATGTGTGGGGACATTATTTATGCCTTTTCACAGCCAAAATTACCTTCGGCTTCACCCCCACACAGGACTGTCTGCATCATGTCAGGGCGAAGGTGATAAGAGACATAACACACACACCTCCTAGGAGTGTCTGCATGTTGTCTCGAGCACTGAACAATGAAGGTAAGGGCACTCTTACCGTTACACACAGAGCAACAGAATTACCACAATTAAAACAACAACATGTCTGCTAATGTAGGAGTTTGGAAATATTTTTCTAAGGTTATTAGTTAGGTATTTGCCAAGCCTGAATATAAGCTGCCTCAGGACAATCAGACTTTTTGCAACTGTCATTCGGTGCCAGTCGATGTGTGCTTATCCTAATTCTGCACACTACTTTAAAAAGATGATGAACTGAAAAGAGTTTCAACTTATTTTGTAATTAAATCTCTCTATTTGAGGTCTTACTACTGTTCATAGGTCTCTTTTTGCAAGTGTTTCTTTTCTGTTTCCCAGTTTGTTGGACGTTGCATGTTTAGCACGAGCACTTGTAGCTAGGTGGATCAGTAAAAGCTGCAACCATCAGTATTATTGTATCTCTGTGCTTGTCTCTTTCCTCTCCCCTCATTACATCAGGTGGCTGACCCTTACTGAGCTTAGTTCTGCAGAAGATCTCATCCTGTTAAACGGGAGTTCTTTAACCCTTTGGTGCTTGTTCATTAATAAAGTGTCTACATTGTGTCTATAACAGCAAAACATTTGCTTTTATAGAGGTGCTCACAGTGGGGTATTAATCA